TAGCATCAGACATCCTTAGCATGGTCACTAAAGTTACCTACCGGTAACATCTGAATTAATTCTGAGGAAAATGCGAAGTTAGTTTTACAGTAAATCATTATTTAATTACTGATAATGTCCTAATGAATAATTTAGCTCTCGATTCTGGAGAATAAAACTAGAGAAAACCTGAAAGCTAAATGCTTAGCTCCTGCTACTCTTGAGCTAGCGTTGAATTTTGTGCAGTATTGTTTTTTTTAACTCACTTTTTTGGCTTCGGTTTCAGTGTTTTACAACGCTAGTGAGCGTGTTTAGTCTCAGCCAAAGCTCACTAGACACTGTAAGATTAAACAGACACTGACAGATTAAAATTTAAAGCGATGAAAACAGTTAAAACTGGATTTTCTAAAGCTGCTGTCAGAAGCAAACATCAGCAACCTGCATCTCAGGAGCGCTGTTCTCCACTAGAAAACCTCATGACTTGACAAATGTATACATGCAATATTTCACACACTTTCTTACTGTTTATGTGGTAAGAGGGTAGCTCTTGGGAGAGTTACACTTTTTGGTGTTAAATCTCTGCTTAGTCAGTATACGTTTTGATTTTATAATGTATTAAATAAACGCTATTTTTCCACTGTAGCCAACTCAAGACTATCATTTCTACAGAAAAAAACATAATATATTTAGATACTTTTTAGACACAGAAAGGGAGAAAATAGATGGTCTAATCCTAATAGAACAAAATCCAGGACTGTTTTTTTTTGGTGGTATTCTAACTAAAACACAGAAATTGATTTGTTATACATGCTGTATACATGTTTGTCATTTTTGATACCCAGTTTTTCAGCATGTACATTCCCCTGATTCAGTTTTATGGTAAGAGGAGACAGTGAAAATGTGAGACTTTTGTCTTTAGTAGTTTTTCAGATATTCATGTTCATCCAAACTTTGGACCAAAAAATCTTCAGGCAAATCTGATGACCCCAGTCATTTGAGGTGATGTGACCCTTTTATAGATTTGGTTGATCGGGTGATTGATCCATTTTGTCCTCCATCCTCTTCTCCTCTCCCAGTCTATTATGTCATATAATGGCGGGGCCGTCATGGCCATGCGGGGGAAGAACTGCGTGGCGATCGCAGCAGACCGGAGGTTTGGCATTCAGGCCCAGATGGTCACGACAGACTTCCAGAAGATCTTCCCCATGGGAGACAGGCTGTACATCGGGCTGGCTGGTTTGGCGACGGATGTTCAGACAGTGTGAGTGGGAATCTCGTCCTCTCAAAATGTCTTTTTTTATGCCTTTATTTTATTTGTTCTGCTTGGAATCAACTCATTGGTTTGCAAACTTTCAGCTCAGTTTCTGAAAGTTTGAAGTGAAGCAAAATATGTTGAAAGAAATGAAATACAAGGGTAAAAAGTGATTTTTCGGTGTCCTTTCCTCATGTTTTATTCTCATCCACCTGCACACAAGGAGTCTTAACTAAATGAGACACCCTCACTTTGGAGACCAATTTTTTTTTTGAATGATGTTAAATATATGTGATATTTGGCACAGCTGGATCATCTCTCAGCCTGCTGCTGGTGTATTTTATGATCACATCTTAACAGTTTGGCAGCAGCTCTTCCTAAAGGGTTTGTTCCTGCTGTCTCAGCCTGTACCTGGGAATAACTACAAAGTCATGTCAATGGGAGAAAAATTAACCAGGGTCCAGTTTGACCAGACTAAACATTGAGTGTGAAACCACCCAAATTTAATTACCACAGTCTTCGTGTTTGATAGCACAAGATGGTAGTAACAGACTTTACTGAACTCATTTCTGATGCTGAATCAGGACAGATCAGTGGTCTAATGATTTCTTGTCTTCCATCCCTTTTTGCAGATCCCAGAGGCTTAAATTCAGACTCAACCTGTATGAGCTGAAGGAGGGTCGCCAGATCAAACCCAAAACCTTCATGAGCATGGTGTCCAACCTGCTGTATGAAAGGAGGTGAGTACGCTGAACTGCCGAAAGCATGAATACTAATTTGTCTTTTGTTTCTGCCAGTTTGTTTGAAGAATGAACTCAAAAGGTCACCTCAGTAGTGTTCTGTGTTTATACTTGCACAACAATCTATTGGACCACGTACTCCTGGAGTCTGAGCTCGGTC